TCCGTAGGGGCAGGACTGGCGCTGCATGTGGTACCAGGGATCGAACTCTGGTCCCCGCACTTGCTTAAGCAGGTGTTTAGTCCACCGAGCTATCTCACTGGCTCAGACCTATAATTTGGTCTATAATTTCCCTTCCTTTGAGAATCTCTTCCCCCTCGCCTATCATTTCCCTACATTCTCTATGTCTCTGCAATTCCTTCCAAATCTCATTGGCCCTGCCTTTAAACTTTGTGGCACAGGACCATCACCTGTTACCTTGTCCTGGGCCATGTGCAGCCCTCTGATGAAGACAAGCATATTCGATGCCACCTTATGTGGCTACATAGGTCAATTTCTATATACCAGCCCAAGAGGGTGAGTAGGGGTAAAATTCATTCTGCTCCCTACGTGCAGGGCCATGGTCCCAAAGGGCTCTCCAGGCTCCCAGCTGGAGCCCAGGTATCCCTTAAAACCCAGATCTACGTCTCTAAACACACTGTGTCCACCTCATCCTGAATGCCTCTCAATGAGCCACACCTCAACATGGATTCCTTTTCTTTATTCCAAATCTGCTTCTCTCCACCATGCCAGGCAGGAAGACAAGAGAATCGAAGCTCTCCCTGTCTCTCCCAACCTGCCCCATCCTGGCTGACAGATTTGACCTCCTCTTTCACAGCCGCTGCTGCAGATTGGTGTTTGACCTGATTATTTCTCTTCTCATTTAGGCTGTTGGACTCATGCTCACTCAGATCCACTGCGCTGCACGAGCCGTCTTGCCACATTATCCCGACTGTGTCACGCCACTGCCTGGGAACTCTCCTCGGCTTCCCACTGCCCACAGGACAGAATCTGCTCCTCGGTGTGCCTCAGGAAGCCTTTCGAAGGGTAGACTCCAACTTTCTCTCACCTTGTTCCTTTTTCCTTATGCCTCTGTTTCTCCTGCTGCTTTGTCCTTAGCTTGGGCTACAGCGTGACTCAGAACGATTTAACCAAGGTTTCCCTCCAGGAAGACTTTTCTGACTGCCAGGTAAAGTTGCCTAGTTCCTCCCTTGAACACCTAGACTTCCATGCCAATCTCTGCAATGCTTGTAGGTGCATCCATTTCTCTGGCCCCATTAGAACTGTTGTCTCTGAAGGCCGATAAGGCATCCTGACTGAGTTTGTGTGCCCAGACCCTGGCACAGTGACAAACATCGTCATAATCCTCACCTACGCAATCCTAATAGATGTGAAAATAAGCACATTTACCAGAGCCAGGGGGACACAAAGGAAAATGAGGCTTTCACATGGTTGTATGTGTACAGTGTGTATAAAAGAGGACCAAAGCCTTAGTATGCCCAAGCCCCTGGGTAGGAAACTAGGGATTATGGGAAAGGTGACTAGAGGGCAGGCAGCCCTCTGTATCTGTGGTTCTGCACTGGCAGCTTCTTCATTGAAAATATTCAGGGAAAGAAACGTGCATCTGTACTGAGTATGTACAGACTTTCTTCAGTTTATCGTTATTCCCTAAACAATACAGCAGAACAACTATTTACACAGCACTGACATTGTATTAGGTGTTAGAAGTAATCCAGAATGTTTGAAAGCGTACTGGAGGATGTGCATGAGTTGTTTGAACACCACACCGTCTTGTATAAGGGACCTGAGCACCTACAGAAATTTTTGATCCAGGGGTCCTAAAGTAGTCGCCTGCAGATCCTGAGAGAGACTGTGCTTAGAAGAAAGGCAGAGAAGGGAAAGAGAGGAGTGGCCTCAGTGGGGGTCCTGTGTGTGCTTGAGCTGCTTGTGAGAGGTTGGGGACAGGCAGGGGGCGGGCAGTGCTTCAGCATGAAGAGCTAGCACAAGAGAGCCAAGCGCAAGGGCAGAAAGGGGGACACAGCTGCCCCCAAGTGAGGCACTAACTCTGAAACCTTCCAGATTGGGAGATAGGAAGGCAGGTCTTAGAATGAGCTACTCTGATGGGGACTTCTCTGCAGAAAGCAGGCAAATTCCAAAAGGGCAAAAACAAGGGGAACCAGAAAGACAGCTGCTTCCCTCTCCCTTAGACCAAGGGTGAAACCCTTAACAAGAGGTCAGAGGCCTCTGCGGTCAGGGCAGCTTTTCCTGTCTCTAGCCCCTTCCTCAGCCTTTCCATCCCAGCTGAAAGGTGCCCCGACACCAGGAAGCTCCTGAGACCACCCCCCCAGGGCCTCTCTGTGACACATTCTTCAAATACCCCAGATTTCTCCTTTGTGGCCCCTTCTCATGATTTTAAGCAGCTAGGTGTTCATTTAAAATTCTGCTTTAACTCTCACAAAATTAGCAACTTTTTGGGCAAGGACAGTGCCTGGTACACATTTGAGAAGTAATAACTGTGTATTGAATGATGATGATGGTGCCAGGCAAGGTGGCGTACGCCTATAATCCCAGCACTCTGGAGGCTGAGGCAGGAGGATCACCTCGAGTTCGAGCCAGCCTGTCCTACACTGTGAATTCAGGACCAGCCTGAACTACACAGCAAGATCCTGCCTTGAAAAACAAAATGACAACAAATAAAGAATGAATGATGATTCAGTCAGTTGAACAGATAGCCAATAAAACAACTGCATGGTGAATGAAACTGACATGTAGGATCTAAAATTCAAGACCAAGCAGTTAGGGTTGCTCTCGGTGCAAAGGGAAGGTGGAGGGGAGGGTAAGGCAGCCAGGCCTACTGGAGGCTGGCAGAAGACCTCATAAACTAGACAGCAACCCTATCTAGCCCTGCTATCATAAAGTTCATGGATTTCTAAGCTAAAGTCATCTTTCACATTTTGAGCATGCCTGCCTGCCTGCCTGCCTGCCTGCCTTCCTTCCTTCCTTCCTTCCTTCCTTCCTTCCTTCCTTCCTTCCTTCCTTCCATTCTTTTCTTCCTTCCTGTCTGTCTTGTGTTGGGGATTGAACCCAGGGCTCTTTGCAAACCAAGCATATATCCTGCTATTAAACCACATCTCTGATCTCTCCTGTTTGCATTTTTAAATGGTTAAAAAAAAAAAAAGAATGACACTAACACACAAAATTTATCTGAAATTCACATTCAGCATCTATAAATAAAGTTTTAATGGAGGGAGCCACATTTACAGCTTACATACCATCTATGGCAGCTTTTGGCTACAACTATAAAGTGGAACAGCTGTGACAAAGACCATCTGACCTCCAAACCTAAAATACTCACTCCCAGGTCTTTTAGAGAAAGTCAGCTTACCTGTAGCCTGGAAAATCGTGGGGATCCCTGTACCCCAGGACCTATAGCAAGGCTCTGCCCCAGTGGCTGATGTTAAAGTCCAAGTGTGGGTGGGGGAACCACCTCCCCAAACACTGCCTATCGATGTAAAATGGGACTTAAGTATCCACTAACAAGTAGAGTGCTAATTACTAGCCATCGCTCACTCATGGAATCCACTATCATCTGTTACATGACTATTAGAAAAATGAATTAGGCTGCAAAGTACAAAGTAAAGATGTCTCTAATACCTTGTCAAAATAATCTAAAGTATAACATGGACAGTACTCTTCAATTTACTTTTTTAAGTGAGCATATAAATGTTTGAATATAAATATCTGGAAGGATATATATGATAAGTATCTCTGGGAAAGGAACCAGTGAATAAATTCATTCATTCATTCATTCATTCATTCATTCATTCATTCACTTACTCATTTATTCACTCATGGTACAGGGATGGAACTCAGACTTTCCTGCATGCAGGGCGAGTCTCTATCGCCAAATCCTGCATAGCTCAGATGGGGAACTGTGTACCGACACACCCTCCTCTGAAACTGCGGCTCTCAGTAACAGCACAAAGCAGCTCCTGTGTTTGCTCGGAGGAAGTATGCTCTTAGGACCGTTAGCAGCAATCCTACTTCCCTTTTCCTGGAAACACCAGTCACCTCTTCAACTAGAGTCCCCCAGTTGAGCCTGCTGATGGCCGGGTGCCAGGAGGTATGAATAAACAAACCACCCAGGGTGGCAGCTGGCAGCTGGCAGTGTCTTCCTCTAAACAACAGCTGGCTTTCCTGCCCCGGGGACCCTTCCCCCTAGTGTAGGATCATAATCATAACCCATATTAATGATCCTCCAGCCCAGGTGAGAAGCAGCAGCCATGAAGGCAAAAAGGCACAGCCCAGAAAAGTGGGAAGCCATGGTTGGGCCAACAGGTGGATCTGTGTGCGACTTCCCATTGCACTTTGACTGCAGGCCTGTGATTCCTGTCAAACCCAAACTGTCCAGGGCTGTTTCTCTCGGTCCTTTCATGGTAGCACCCTCGGGAGCTCCTAGCTCCCTGCCTTCCCCATGGCCAAGCCTGCATAGCCGGGCTCACATCGGGACAGATGTGCTGCACTGCACACGCCTTTCCAAAACATCTCCAGCCCATATTTGGGGGTCTTGGGGTTGTTTGAAAGGCCCAGGAAATCTATAACAATTGTAGCACAGAGGCACAATCCTCCTCAGCTCAGAAGTGCTCTTGGGAATCTCTGCTACCTGCTGGAACAAATAATCCACTGTAGACCCAGCATGTCCCAAAGGACATTCTGAGAAATGTCAGACATATCACGGGAAAGCAAAGGTACAATTAGGGAAACCAGTCACCCGCGGTTCCTCCACTAGAGCAGCAGTAACATTAGGACATTCAGAGTTCCAAGGAAATACGCAGATGTTACACCTGCTTAACTTGATCTGGCTTTGAAGTCCTTGTGGAAAACTTTTTTCAAGGTCCCATTTGAAAACCCAGCCCCAAACCCTGAGCTTGGATTCAACAAAGATGCCCAGGGAAGAGGTGAGGTTCCAGGGATGACATGAACCTCGCAAGGAAGGCTTCCCTGTTGAGGATGCTTCTAGAACTGCAGATGCAGGCTCAGGGCCCTACCTACCACCCAGCACTGCAGGGTCAGGAGAGTTAGCACAGAGGGATGAAGAGAAAATTCCAAAGCCAGGGCGTGGGACCAAGTGCCTCTGCAGAGCGCCCAGGCTGCTGCAGGCAGCTCCCCCAAGCAGGACTTACCATTGGTGGTCGTGTTGACATAGTAACGCCGGCCCTGAGGAGACAAATAGCTCTGCCAGCCAGGTGGGAGGATGACAGTCTGGCTTTCCTCTCCCGGCGGAGGGGGGACCATTCCAGGCTTCTGTTGGAGAGGAAAGGAAAGGTCACACACATTTGGCATCGGGGAACTGTTTTTAAACCAGAAAAGTCAGAGGATGGGGAAGTCGCCCTGAAAGTATTTGGCTGTGAGGACAGTGCGGGTCCCTGGGGAGGTCACAGGCGGTGTACATGTGGTTTCAGAGGCTACATGAGCATGTGGCGTGAGGAGTGCTTGCTTTTCCAAAAGGCTCTGGCAGATGGGATGGTTCACTCAGACCACAGAAAGGAAAGCAGGTAGCTAACAGAGCTGGGCTTTTTCCTCTTCACACCTCTGCAAAATCAATCATGAGGGGGCTGCCCGTGCCAGAGGTCCTGTCACTCTGGGGCTCCTGCTGTGGAATCAGTGGCCTGGAGTCAACAGGACCACTGAGTGCGGCATGCAAGCCCCAGACCTGCTGTGCAAAGCTCGTAGAGGTCATTAACACAAATCACAGCGGCACAAGATGTAAAACATTCTGTAATAGTACTGGTAAGCCATGAAGCACTAGATCTTCTCACCAAGGATCCAAAACATCCCGGCACAGAGAACTGGGATTCTGAGACAAAGTAGATAGCGAGTTTCCAGTTTTCAGTGTAACTTTCAAGCAGTGATGTACACTTTGAATCTTTGAACCATGCACAATATTTACATTCTTAAAAAACAATAAGAGAAAATACTATGTCAGAGAAACTAGACAAGAAGTAGATATGGGGTAAAATATCATTTGTAATTCCCTGGTGATAGAATTTTTATTTTCTTTTGACTTCTGTATTACACCTAAACTTTCTCAAACAAAAACCCAAAATTTTTTAGCTAAAGAACACTTAAAAATAAGGACCGAGGGGCCAACATGAGCCCACACAATCATCGTGCCTTTTGGAGGAAGGGAGTTGATGAAAATAAGAATCGGAACCTCAAGAGTACAACGGCCGTGGGCTTCTCATAAGAGTAGGAGCCTGTACAGGAAAAGGAAGGATCAACAGCTTCCATTGTCTGAAGTGTCGTCCATAGCAGTAGACTTTTAAAAATTTATTATTATTATTATTATTA